TTCAGAATATTTTCTATATTTGGTATTTATGTTGCTTTGTGGTTGTATCAGTGATTTTTCTATAAATGGTAAATCGATATTCTCATCATATCTTCTGCACAGTTATGTTAAACAAAACCAAACAAAAAAGCAAACAGCAAAAATACTCCTTTTCCTATTGCTTAAGAATCAGCTTTTGCTCTTTCAGTCTTGAGTCTGGTGTGATGAATCATTCTGTGCAAGAGCCTGACTGGTAATAAATACCTTTGCAGTACACCACAGAAATGGAGAATCTTTTTTTCTTTCTTTCTTTTTGTTATGATGCACTTGGAAGAAGATATGAATATGTAAGAATGAAAAGATGCTTATTTCTAACCTGCTGTCCATCCCTGTAGCTCTGTTTGTTTATGAATATGTAAAAATATAAGAAAGCTTTGTAGAATACTTATATGAATATTTTTTCAGTAGGTGTGTGCATCCAAAAGAAAAAAAAAGTATTCATTTGTTGTTGTCTAGATATAGTAAATCCCATTAAAGTTTGAAACAACACGTCATATACTAAATCTGATCAAATGATTTTTTTTCTGAAGCTACAGCATGTGTAATTGAGTCAAAGAAAATGATTTTAAATGATCTTCAAGTGACTGATACATGTAATGTGATTCTTAGAAATATCAGTTAGGATATCCTCTAATGATAAAATGATAAAAGAAAGAAAACTGTGGAATAGTAATGCTATTAGGATGATCATTTTTTACCAATGAACTAAAATAATAATTCAGATAAAAGAAATCAAACAAATGATTCACCAAAGTAAAAAAGTAGAGTGTAGAATATTGTAGTTGAAATAGTACTCATTATGCTTGAATATTTCAGAAATGAAGCAGCTGCCCACATTCAAAATGGAGGCCTAAGGATGGTTAGCGACGAGATGAATGTGTGAGGTCCTCCAGACCCCACTGCAGGACCTCCCAAACCCCGTGCCATACGAGGCAGCCTGATTACCGCCCCCATGTCACTGCACGCTGATTATTGATTCTGAACACCCAAGCTGAACACTGAGACAAGATCTGCTACTAGATATGATACAATTATATATATATGTATAGACCCTCACCCCTAGACGCATTATTGAAATGAGCACAGAGGACATTAATAGTGGAGGCCATATACTACAAGGAAGAAGGTAGTATTTGTGATAAAATGTATAGAATATCAGAGGAAATTGTGCATCATTTACATCTTAGCTCTCTAATTTAAAATAGTTCCAGATACCTCATTAAATACATGTATACTCCAAGCACTGTAATAAATGGTAAATCAGCAGCAGTTGTTCACTTGTGTTGAAGATCGAATATCTGATTCTGTGTTCATAGGGGTGACCCACGTCTTCTTAATTGTTACTGCGTCACAGTCCCCCCCCGCTCATGAGAATTATTAACCTGCTGTGAACTCCATTGTTGTACTCCCTCGTTACCACCGCGAGCTGATTGACGTTTTTTGCTTTGAGTGTTTCTTGCAGTGTCGTGTATCACGTAACAGTAGCAGTATTCTTTTTCTGCCCTGTGCTCAGTTTGAAATGTGAATATGAAGGCAAATGCTTCTGTTGCAGTGTAATTTGCACCGGTAATTTGAGGGCCACACCGTCAGTGAATTCTTAACCATAGCAGTGAACAGAATGTCTTCATTGGCCATTGGACCATATGTGCTGTGTGATAGTGTGAGATGAACTAAGTATTGCTGTGAGTCATCCGTGACGGTGCTATGTGGGAGTGACTCTCGACTTGTTTGGTGTTCTACATACTTTTGTGATACAACCAAGGTCTAGTCAGGAGCGGGGGATCAACCTGTCAGTGTTTGCCAGAACCTTTGTGACGCAGATGTAATCATTACGCTCAGTTTTACCATTTTTTCCAATCTACCAGCAGTAGTCCATTAATGAGACTGACAGGGAGAATGGCAAAGGATGGATATGAAATGACATTGTGATGACGTGAGGTTATGTTAAATGCAGTCTTTTTGAGCTAAAAAAAAAGTATCTTGCTTGCAGTAGAGATAAACCTCATGAGGTATATATAAAAAGTGACATAATTGTTTCAATGGCATCCCTATTAGTGCACTTTCAGAAAGCTATCTCCCTGTCAACTCTTTTGCCGCAGCGTTCCTAGGTGTTGCTTAATTTCAGCAGCTTGCAAGACAATATATGACTTGACCAGCAATTTTGAGTCTTAATGTGGCAGATCTTGTACTGATGGAAAAAGAAACATTTATCAGCATTTAAAACTTAAGACAAAATTGGTGGGAAAGTCACATTATCCAAATATCCAATGTATTGTAAGGCATCTCGCTAGGTCATATTTTATTTGTATATTGAATTCATTTATCTTAGGAACAATTGACAAATTCTCATTGTCAAGTAATCAGTTTCTACTTAAAGATATTTCCATTGTAAACATTTCTTATGACTCTAAGACAAAATGTTGATGTGTAAGTATGTGTGCATTGCTTCTTTATAGTGTTAGAATTGTGTGAAAGTGAATATATAATGATAGATTTTAAGTCAGTGCAAAGTCATACTCCTATATCATTATTGGCAGATTTCTCCTGTATCTGACAATAGCCATTATCTATCTTCTGGTAATGTTTTGGTGGTTATTCATTGAGTCGATCAAAGTGGACATGCAGAAAAGCTTGAAGTTGCAAGAGTGTTGATGGGTGATAAAGCCTCTGATGATGGATGGAGAGGAAGCACACTTCATCCTTTCCAGTACATGAAAGAAAGGAAAAAGGCAATTAACACTCTGTGCTTACTTCACTGTCCACTTTCAACCAGAAGATCAGTGAAGGCTCCAGAATATGCCAACATGTCACATAAGCTCAAGTGTTGACCATGTAGTCCCCAGTAAATGTTGCCAGTATAATCTTTGCCTGTCCTCAACTAAGCAGACTTTACATTATTGATTTGCATTTCATTAGTAATGATAATATCAAGGTGTAATACCACCAGAACTAGAGAGGTCATGCTTTCTATCTATGCATATGTACTATTTAACCACAAAAAATATAAAGATCAGATGAGGAAATTCCCCAAAAGTATATAATGCTCAAACTCTTGAGTAGATAAACAAATGCTTTTTTCTACTGCTTTTAGGTAGGATTAATTCATGTTGAAAACTCAGTATTAGGCAATATAGGCATACATGCAAGACATTCAAAGCACCTTTCTTGGATTTTAATTCCATCAATGACAATTTTTGTATGTATGTTAAGTATTGTCTATCTGTTATTAATTTCTTTGTACCATTTCTATACATATAGGATATGTGTGATTAAGCTTCATAGTAGACAGTGCTTGTTGTTACTCAACCAGGGAGGACGGGTGCTAATGGGAGGGGGACACAGCAAATGCTCCTAAATGACAATACCAGGAGAGTGAGTCACCAATTTTTTATGAAGAGAAATTAGCTGACACAAAGAGAATCTGTGATAAACTCTTTTGTGTTGTGATAAAGAAGTGAGTCCAATTTTTATCATGTAGTTTATTATTCTGAGTCATTATTAGTGTAATCTATTAACTTCTAAAGGAATATAGTTTTCAGATTTGTGTGTATCTGTAACCGATATCCACAGACTGACTCAAGTAATGAAAAGCCCGTATAAGATCAGGATCACTGTTCTTGTTCCATGTCTATATCTGACAATTTTTTAGGGGGATAAACTTGTCCAGATTAAGTATGGGGCATCACTGAAAAAAGTTTCAGTGATTCTGATCTTGTCTTGACGTTCTTCTCTGCAGGAATATAAAGCAAGTTCTTGTGTACTGAACATCATGTAGGCAAGAGAAAAAACTTAGTCTAGTGTATGGTTTTTACATATAATTATTGTTGAAACTTCAAAGATGAGTATTCCATTTGTAGAGAAAGAAATGCACTAATTTTTTTTAGATATTTAACATGCTAGAAGTGAAAAGCAGAATTGGCTCATATATGAGATGTCCCCCTACCCAGTAGTTTTGTCTCTCTCTGTAGATTAGAATTACACAGCCATTGTTTCCTTTTATAGTAATGTCAATGTAACCACGCATTAAAGGTTATTGATACTTAAACACTGGGATTGCTAGATGTTTAATTATACTGTAGCGGGTAGGAGAACTTCAAGTATTACCACTGCATGAATTGTACCACATTGACATTATATAACCAAGTTATCATGGTAAACATCACTGTTGAACATTTGGAAAGTAGCATGAAATTAACTAATAAAGTGATGAAGTGTCTTCATTAGTTAATCAATGTTTGCTGTTTGCCAGTTTAACAAGAAGACAAGTTGTAATCATAGCACTTTGTTCTCTAAGGCTAACTTATCCTGTGTTTTAAATAGGGAATTTAGCTTTGTGACAAAATATGATGCAAATTTAGTCTGCAAGTTGTTTACTGTTGACACTCCGGTATAAACATTATAAACATTTAAACATTCTCTGTGTACTCTGAAAGCTGTGTTGCTTGATTCTGTTAGAAGTTGCATATGTTTAGAACTAGAACTGTGTATCTGATTCCTCACATCAGATATGTGAATAGAGACAGCAGATATGTTTCCATATTCTTTTTCTACAAAGAATATGAATTATAACATATTTATAAATGATACTTATTTATAAATATTTCACCATCAAGATCCACTGACACAAAATGGATGCAAGGGCTTTGGATATAACAGTGCTAAGTTCTGAACATTTGAAGTTTCTGTCTGTTTCTCGTATACTTTTGTGAAATTGTGTTAGCCTGTGTTACCATGGGCTTTAAATATATAAATCTGCCTAAAGGAAGATAATTTGTGCGAGAATCAGATAAAAGATGAATTTATATCAGCTTAGAAAAAAAATTGTATTGTGATCTTGTGCATGCAAGTTCTACTGTATGAGGAGGATGCTTGTTGTAAGGCTTTCTCCACATCACAAAACCAGGGGATTGCACTCATTGAAGTTAGGAATTTTGACAGCACAACAATTTACCAGGAGTTGTGGAGTTATAGGTTATGTTTTGCCCTTACTGATGTAAGGGACCATATACTTGCCCAGTTATTTATGTCATCCCTATTGTGAAGGCATAGAAGTGATATCGTAAGATACAGATGAATGTTTCAATGGTAGTTCATACTTGTCAGACTTGTAGAGTATTCATGGTATAGTGTTTTGATTCGACCTAAGGATGAGTAAATTACATCTGCAGTGAACAAGATGTGAACTCCAGGAACTGAATTTAATGTCTCATGTAACTATAAAGGATGGATGCTTATGGTAATTTTCAAAGCTAGGTTTGCTTATGTTGTTATTTGGTGACTGTAGAGTGTTTAAGAAAAGTAATGCTAAGCAACTCTTCCTGAGGGCAGATTACAAGTGTTATAAGACAGTTCTGGTTATTTTTCACTTTTTTGCAAGCAGTAGATGCTCAGGACTCACAGTATTTTGTTGTCATAATTCTGTTAAATAGTAAATTGCCCAATTTGGGGGTAATGTGTCAGGCAACCAGAACCTCTCATCTCACTTGTAATTTGTGTTGCGACAAGGGACTTTGCGCCTTACTGATTGAAGGTCAATGTCGCTCGTCACTTCACATTTTCTACCAAATATAGTGTAAACAATTATGTATCATGAAATAAACCATGAGAAATATATATTTTTTCATTAAACCTTAATTTACCCAAATGGTTACATGCATCATATCTTATACAAAACTTTTTCAAAACTGACTAGTGATCTAAATAATATATTTTATAAAATGACTTCATTTATACTTGATTGCCATTTGCAAAAACATTTTTTATAGAAAGTAAACATTTCCATGAAAGTAACATTCATAATGTGTTTCTCATTTTTTCTAGTTATTTGCAATGCACTATTCTGGGAATTTGACTTTTGACATAAAAGTAACTTAACATCAAGGTTCTTCAAACAGCCTTTGTAGTATACCATTTATGCATATAGTTTTCTTTTCAAACAATTTTTACAAGGGTTATTAGCTAGGAAGATTTTTAGGCTAGAAGCATTACAGTAAAAGAACATCATAAGAGAGAAAAAATGACCTAACCTAACCTGGAGAAGCAGTACAGAAAAAAGGTCCGGCACATTTGTGTTTTTCTTGTTGTTCCCTTTGTTATTCTATTTGTAATTTGTTTGACATGAATCTCATACCAAATAGCTTACATGCCACATTGTGTAGCAAATATCTAGTGTTGTTACATGATAAATGTTACATCATAATTTGGTGTGATACTAATGGAGTTTTTAACTGCTGAGCAAATGCTTTTAGCAGCTTTCCTCTTGATTCCCATTTTCAAATAATGACAAAGACTACTTATTGAATTTATAATGCACTGTTTTTTTCATGTCAGAATTTTCCTTGACAGTACGTTACTTGCATGCTACATAGCTGTGCCATTGATAGCTATGCTGAAAGATGTTACTTTGCTACTCCACCTGAACTTGGAATCAACAAAACACCTCACTACTGCATATCTTAAGCATTAGCAGAAATAGGCCACCACCAGGATGCTCTAAAGAGCAAAGAGCATATCATAATTGTATGCAGAACACAAAAGGGCAGGAGTAATGGAGTAATGATCATGTCCTTTATTATATTTGTTAATACCAGAAAAGAACTCAATTTAATAAAATACTCGATGATGATGCAAATACTACCATCACCATAAAAAATATGTTTTGTTTTGGTGTTCTAGGGCCGCCCAGTTCAAGTAGTTAGGTGTGTAAAAAAAAACATCGCTCAGATCTTATACAAATTCTATAGACTGTTTTAGCTACTTCCAGTTGGCTCATGTGGCTTCTTGGCTTTTGAGCTTCTATGGTGCAATTGAGGTATAACCTATTCACCAACTATGGTCACGTATATACTCACATTCCTAGAGGTAGTGTAATAAAATGGTGTTTAGCCTGCAGCAATGTCAGAAATGGCATTCAGCAAAGCTAATGGTGTTTACAGTCTACCATGCATTGTGCCAACTGGTGAAAAATCTCTTGATATAATTGCTTAAAGTACCAGAGGTCCATACCATCTAGGTAAAAGGGAATTTCTCGCTTGATTGAATGGTCATCTCACTGATGGACTGTCCATCATAAAGCTTTGCTGATCTAACACCTAGCTCATTCCCCTGAATGTCAGCATAGCTGAGTTTGAGAATGATGCATATGCCCTGGGTAAGAATTCTGTGCTGTGGTATTAAGGTCAGTAGGTATATACAGGCTGTTTCTTAGCATCAGGCTGTCAATGTTTGTCTGGACCTAGCAAGTATCAGTGAACATCTTGAAACTATGCCCAATGCATATAAATGCTTTACTTACGGATCTTTGCAGTCTGGGAGTACAGCAGGATGCTCGAGGACTAGGGGTCATTTCTGCGATTCTCAGAGTGCTTTGAACACACTAGACAATGGAGCATACAATATTGCAAATGACATTGGGATAAACATGCATCATACAAAAGAATGAGGCCATGGTATATGCTTTGTTTGGATACCATTGCATGTTGGAATCTCTAGGATGATCATGCTGACAGCCTAGGAAATTCAGCATGTGACAAGCAATGTGTGGATATAGATCTTTGAGTACCTCTTGCTAGGATTTCGCACATCCTTAAAACTTCATTCAAAGAAGACTTGACTGAGTTGATTAATTTTCAACGGCCTATAACCAGTTTACTCAAGATGTATTCTACAATGGTATATAAGAAACAAGAACAAGATAATGTGATATTGTGCCCACAAGACTCAGGCTTGGGTATAGATTGCATTGGCAGGTCAGTACAGTTTATGATATTGAAGAAATGCTGTAAATTATGTAATGAAGAATATAAGCCAACGCTTGGTACATTATCTCAAGTGTCTTGTTGTACTATAGCCTGTAAGACCACCTAGCATGAGGTATGAAGAACTACATATTTCATATCATCTGATGTCTTGGAAGATATACTTTATTGTATCCTAAATTTGGTATGTAGTATCACATGACCACATAACAAATGTAACAATGCCTTCCCACACCCAAGCTGTATGCTGACTTGTTAGATGAGTAGATAGAAGACTTTCATTGTTCTTTTTAAATGATATAGCACAGATTGTAATGGTGTTATAGCCTAAATTGACAATGTAATACTCTTACGTAATGCTATATGACCTTGCCCGTGCCTGTGCAGTTAGCCAGTGTTAATGGTTAATGGTTGAAACAAAAATGTGCAAGACATCAAAGGTCATATATCACTATGGTAAAGTATTGTGGCAAAAATGGTAAAGAAAAATTACAGATTCGAGTAAGATGTGTTAGATGTCAAAGGTTAGATAGAGTTACCGAATGGTAATGACAAGGGAAGAGAGGAGAAAATGTAGTATAGCAGAAACTAGTAAAAAAAAATGAAAGGGTAGGGCGATTAAGTGAATTACAGTATCTGTGTTGGGGAAGAAAAAGGGATATTATTCAAGGAAAACAGAGATGGCTGTTGGAGAGGTAGGAGAAGAATCCGGGGTATGCAAAACAGGGACTGGGGAAGGTGGTAAAGTATTAGGAAGTGTCAGGAGGGGAGGGGTCTGGAGGACACAGTTGTGACAGAAGAGATTCATGTGAGCATTCAGGTGGGAAAAGTAGAGAGGATGGGATATGTTGGGAGAGTGTGAGAGGAAAGGGGAGGAGGGGGGACTTGAGGAGGAGGATGGATAGAGGGACGAAGGAACTGAAGGATTAGAGAGTGGATGAGGGAATGGAGTGTTCCCTTGGGTCTTGTTTAGAAAGTTTTGGTTGTTTTTGAGTTTCTCAAGGAGAGTTGGGTGAAAAGGACTGAAAAACAGAGGTACTCATGAGGAGGATAGACATTTGAGGAACAGAGAAGGAGGGTGTACGAGAGGATTTGGTAGGTGAAGATGGAGAATATTTAGGTTGTATGGTGAGACAGGTAAAGTGAGGAGGAGGGTTAGGTATCGGAGAAGTGGTAGAGATGGGAATATCTGGATTTAGACTGGAAAAGAAATATGACTGGGGGAGAGAGGGAGTAGAGGTAGGATGCTTTGGTGTCGAGGGAAGAGATAATGGGGGAGATGCAGAGACACCTTGAGATGGGAGGGGAGCATAGCAAAGGACTGTTTTGGAATGGGTAAAGAGAGAAAAACTTGGTCGCCTTGCTTCCTGTCTGGCCTCTGGAGTAAGGCCTAGTTTAAATCTGAGAACTACTGCCTCACATTCGAGCTTATTAAGCAGGGCAGCTCCTATAAAATTCATTATGGGAGCCACCACAATTGGCACATGTACGTGACTGAGTAGGACAATGTAAATGGTCATGACCAGGTTGGATTCATAGAGGGCTGTGGGCTTTTGAGTGACAGAATTTGGCTGGGTGACCAAATGCCAAAGTTTCTTACTATGACGAGGAAGGGGTTATGACGGGGAAGGCCACTCCATCAATATAAACTTCATGGAGGAGGTCATGTCTATGGAAGCTACTCTTGACTTACGCTGTCCTCTCGGGGGAATAGTATAGCACTGTACTGCCATTGGATCATAATCAACAAGGCAGGCTAGTAGGTTGTTTTTATAGTCAAACCAGTTCTTGTTGTAGATAGGATATTCAGTTGGGGAGACGGAAACAGTTCTGGTATGAGTATTAAGAGAGGAGCGAGGTTCGTTAGGAATATGTTTGTCAGTGAATTCAATCAGGGTAGATTGTGGACAAGCTTGGGACTCGTGTAACTGTGACAAGGTGTGAACAATCAGAACGACTGCAAAAGGAAACTTTGCCTGCTTGTTTTTGGAGACATTGTTGAAAAAGGAGGGTATTATCAGAGTAAGGGGCTGTAGTGGGAATCACAAAGAATTGGTCCCACTTGGCCCGAAGAGAATACTCAAAAGGTTTGCAGAGATGGAAGCACTACTGAAGTAGTATTGTGGGGAGGAGGACAATAAATATGAAGAGGAGTAATGAGGGGAGATGGAGTAGTCAAAGAAGATAGTGCAGTAGATGGAGAGGAAACTGTACCTTTTGAAGACTGAGAAATGACCTGGGTGAGTGGTTCAAAAAGGATAGGTTGTCAGTAGACATTGAGGGAGTATTAGTATAAGTGGTCAGAGCTACAGATACTAATACTAGCATGGCTCTCACACCTTAGGAAGTGGACAGAAGGGGATGAAAAAGAGACAGAAAAGGAAAGGCCATGCAAAATTAGTCAAAGTGAGGGCTGAGCTCCAAGGTAGGGGTGATCCACTATATTAGGCCCCAGTCTCTATCTCCTGAGCCCCCCACAACAACACTAAGCAAGGTTTGGGGGTGGGGGGGGCAGTTTATTGTAATCTGGAAATTTAAGCAAGTCATTGACATTACGTAAAAAAAAATTGAGAAAAGGTGAGATTGTTGAATTAATTTCCATTTAAAAGCAAATAAAATTAAAAACATAATTTTCCATGTCATAGAGGTAGAAAAACTCACGTATAAGAAAAGATTTATTTATATAGTAAGAATTTACAATTAATGAATTATATTTTCATTCCTATGACTACATGTTACTTGTACTGGCATCATTTTTTTCTGTCAAATGGATCTGACCACACCTTCATATCTGAAAGAGAAATTATTTGTAGAGCAGTGATGTATCTATTCAGTCTACATATAATACTAAAAATATGATTTAAAAAATGCAGTTCTCACAACATAAATTCTTACTTTCATTCAGAAAAGGCACTGTTATTAGATCTAGAGACCTTTTACAGTCATACAACTAAAACTGTTTTAAACCATGAAGATAATGTAGTATAATGATAAGGTGAGTGAACCACCAGTTTTAACGTATCAAGAACATGCCTCCTACTCAAACTGGGATGCATTTTGGATACTAAAGTTGAAATTAGAAGTTCATGTATTGGCAATACTGAATGCTAAAAACCTGAAGGTGGAGGAGACCATACATATCTGGTTGATGAAATATTTGGAATTCAATACTTCACAAACTTCATATATATGAAAATGAAGAGTTGCTGAATAACAGTACAATCCATAACAAAGATTTTTACACTTACTTCCTGGTTGAATTTCCTCCTGATTAACACCTTTGCGATTTTCTGCTTGGATCTTTTCTGAAAATAAGATTGTTTCCCTTTATTACTAAAAACAGATTATGCGAAAGCAGAATTAGTTTCATCATTATTATCATAAGCATTATTATATTCGTTACTTTTTCCTTATGATACCTATGTGGTTTAAACCAAATTCATCATTTGATACTCATATAAGCAAAGGAACAGCTTTTAATAACTTCTATCTATCTATTTGCTTAGTATATTACATATATCTGAAGGCATTAATTGCTTGATCATTTCATTATGTTATTGTATTACATCTACACATGCTTTCAAGTATATATAGATGTACATATAAAAGTAGTCTTACTGTAGTCATCTACATGCATCATTGGGTATATGATGATAGGATAAAGTGCTGCACCGATGAATCCTACAAGTCCTCCAAGGAACAAGCCATATCGCCAACCCCGTAATGTAGACATTTCTGACAACTAAAAGAAAAGAGAACATTTAAGTGGAAAAGTGCTTCTTCATTCATCCAAATAAAAGTTAGATACAGATGACTATGCACCTGTAAAACAAACAAACAAAAACACACACACACACACACACACACACACACACACACACACACACACACACACACACACACACACACACACACACACACACACACACACACACACACACACACACACACACACACACACACACACACACACACACACACACACACACACATATGGCTTATTTCAGACATTCATAGAATAAGATAAACAATATATGGAATCAATAAAATGATGAATTCTTACACATTTTCCTTCTATGACATACCTATTACTAACTAAAAATAAAGAAGTTATAAAAGAAAGAAATATTACTATGGCCTGCAACAATGGTAAATGCAACAAACCTCCAACAATTATGTTTTAGTTGGAGAGAGTTTGGCAATGTTCCTTGTCAACTGAAATGCAGGCCTAGGATAGTTAAGCTCATGATGATAAAAAGTAATTATTCAAAACAAAAAAATACAAATGCTACATGAGTTAAGAAATGTTTTAAAATTAATTAGTTTTTTAATTTCATTTACTATTTAAACTCATAAAGATTGGTTGGTTTGATGCTTAAACCAATAACGGATGAGGTTAGCAATGAGTAGCTGTAAACATAGGCCTAGTAGAATTAGTACGCCATCCTATACCACTGTCTATTGCTCTCATTTTCTGGATATTTTGAAGTTTGTAACCAGTAATTACGATTTTCATTTGATTGGCATAAACTGAAAATTTAATGTAGTCTTATATGTTTAAACCCACCCATTATCAAGATGGATTCCCAAAGTTTCCTAAAACACAAGAAACGATAAATGGATGTGCAAGAAATGCCTTACTACCCCTACTCTGGGAAAAGCTAAATACTCGTGACTAAATATTTTTGGACAAAAAACAAGTTACATAACCTTGGGTACATTATCCTCAAAGAACCAGCCCATACTCTATCTTGCCAGTATATGTGCAGTTTGTTGGCATTTACCAGAGCAACAATGCAGAAGCCACTGTAACTACCACTATCATGTTGGACTTTGGATTGTAAGCCTTCTATTAACTAATCTCCAGTTGATATGAAAAAAACAAAAACAAAAAACGGCCTAAATAATTGAAAAAGATCCTGAACTATATATCTCATACTTTATACAAATCAGCCTTTTATCTGGATTTTTGTGCATCTCTGTGCTATTTTATATTACACCATATACTGGTACTTGTATGCATTACATAACTACAATTTCACATTACATGTGTAATAGCATTGTCTACGTTCACTGTTGGTATTATGATTCAAGAGGAAAGCTCCTTTAGAGATAAGCATTGTTTTTTGAGTATTCCTTTCTTTGTAAGTATGAACAATGTGTACTATCTACTTATCCAAAAATTGAACTTCATACAAAATAGTCCCCAATTTCTCCCGATTTTTAAGAATGATAAATAAGTTACGCAACATATACTTTTTCAACATATCATTCTATAAACTGTACAGGAATTATAAAATACTTATTCAATTGTCTACACATAGAAAACAACTAATAAAGCACGCCTTTCCATGCACAGTACCAGTAAAGAGGTAGTACCCGGTGTCACATTCGATTTCAAACTAATGTTTACCTTTTTACTATGTATCAACTTCAACCCTTCAATTAAATTACTATAGAAAAACTCTGATGTAATGTTATTTTATTTGCTGTTAAAGTCTGCAGCTTTAGAAATAAGGGATTCTCCGCGATTGGCGTCATGCTATTTTTACTAATGAATGCGTAATGTTTACGTTCCGGATGAGAATATTCGCTAACTCATCCTCGTTATGATGTTTTTATTTCTTAACATTATATCCATAAACACAGGCCGCGTAAGTTCACGTGAGCATGAACGTCCTAATAACACATTACCCCAGAAAAAAGAGAGAACGCATGGCTACAGTAAAATGTATAGCAAAGAATATGAGACATTTCCTCCATAACGAACACGACAAAGATCAATGTCGTTAAGAGGTGTTCGTTGAAAGTAACAAGGATCTTCGCTTATGAACCTCGTCGCTCAAATTTTACTTACAAAACTAACAAAGAATGTATGTACTTTTAAAGTTTTTGGTAATTAACATGATAGATTTACCAGAATATTTGTTATACTGTGGATGCTATTTGATATTTGGCAATAATATCGTGCTATGACGAATACTTGTGTTGGTAAATGAACTGTGTTGAGTCCTTATATTCTTGTATTTCTTTTCAGAATTACAAGGGTAACTTGGTGTTTTGCTTTTGCCTTTTGTTTTTGTATAAAGTGAAATTAGTAAGGGCGATAATGCTCAGTGAGTCTTTAAAGACTGAAAGCAGTTTATATTTTTAAAAATACATATAATTTACCATTTTATTTATGATTATCAACTTACTTCAAGTTTAACTAAAGGCTTTGAAGAAATTTCAACTCCATATACTCCCTGACACTTTTATTGTTGCAGTGATATTAATTAGTGGAAAGTACACAAAGTATTTAGAAAAAATGTTGTGCCTTTGTTTATGTAGTGAAATAGCTTCTTCATTTGGTTCTTGATATCTATGATAATAAAATCTGCATTTTGGAAGATGAAATGATTTTTACCATTATCATTATACAAACAACAATTTTGAAAAAAATATACTTTATTGATTCATTTCTTTCCAGTAAAGCTTGTAATCCTTCTTGGCAATTTATTGTTAAGTCTATGCTCTTGCTAATGCAAGTTTATATGGAGGAAGTTTGTGGGTCGTTACCTGAGCTTGTAGTGCAGAGGCCATGATGATCGCTATACACTTCAATTCTCATAAATGATTTTATGCCTTTCTTTACAGAGCACAATATATTTCAAGTTTTAATGATATATAAATGATGATAAGATGGACACATGTTGAATGACACAACCTTGACCAATATATTCTATAGCTCACTCCCTCCTGTGTAGTTAGAAATCATTGGAGTCATAATTATTACATGAGCTCAGACTAGATCAGCACTCGGCATCTTAATCTACAAAGCTGTTGAACAGAATAATAGTGATTCAAGTGGAATGTGATTGAACCAAAGCTAACGTAATTGCAAGAGAAAGTTCTCAAATTGAAAGCCAATGCAGGTGACTCCTACACATTTACCTATGCTAATATTAGCATATATGGAACTTATGTCATAATCTATGAAAGACAGATGCTGAATCTCTACCTAATAACATGTAAACTTTTCTAGGAGTGCAAGAGGTAAAAAAGAGAATTCTTTCACATTCCAGCATCCCCCACAGTCAAAACAGTCAACTATTTTTGCTGCATGATGCATTGGCTTGTGAATTAGATTGGAGATTTATGGATATATTTTCCATTATCTTTAGAATGCTATTAGGTCTAGTGATTAAAGTGGAAAAAATCCCCCCCCCCAAAAAAAAAAAAAAAAAAAAAAAAAAGGTTATTTTGATTATTTTTGAACTCAAAGTCATAAAATTGTATATATATTCTTACATTTGTATTCTACAGTACATCACATTTCAGATGCATCATGTTTTACAGATAATTTCCATCATTTGAAAATCTTTTCACTCATCAAAAAATTAACAAGATACAAGATTCTTTGGTTTTAATTTAATGATATTTGGGTAACATTGTCTATTGTCTTTGTAAATATAGTCTTTAATGTATATTCTCTACCACTATTTTTGATTTGCAGTTTATAATAATGATATGATATAAATATTTCAGATTTATCTCATAATGCTGCCTGCAAGATTAAAACATATACATGCATCATTTGAGGTATGTAACAGTAACAGTAACTTATGTGAAACTTTCCTTCAAAAGTTATTTATCAGTTTATTATGACTTGATTGTAAAGCAAAAATAGGATTCGTGCATTTCCATTCTAGTAAATCCTATATGTTTATTTTGTATTTGAATAATTTTATGATTACTGAAAATATTCATGTTGCAACTACTGAGAGAATACATATTATTACTTTTCCTGTGACAATTACTATTACTAGTGATACTACTATAATATTTTGTATTACAGTATTACTATCATTGCTTCTTTTTTAGTAATGGCATTGCTTTACGATTACTACTTTTACTAATAATGATAGTAATGTTATTAATGATGTTAATATCTGTACCTGTACCTGTACCTGTACCTGTACCTAGGTTTGTTTAGGAACACAGCTCTAGTTACAACTATTACAACTATTGATATTACTAATGCTATCGCTGTATCTGTAATAATGGACAGTTTTTGCTCCTTTACTACTGTTACCAACTATTGTCACTATGAAAAATTTATAGTTCTTGCTACAATTATACCTACAGCAGCTGTAACAGACTACTTCTGTAGTATTAAACTATAATTTTAGTGCTATTACTATTATAACTACAACTGTAGTAAGCTGCTACTTCAAAACTCAAAATTAAAATTGAAATTAAATTTACTTACAGGTTTTATGATGGTTAGCTTCATGGAGTATGACTGAGAAATCATATACATGAAGTAAAGTCTATATCATATGGAAGAACTTTGAAAAAAAAGGTTTCAGGCTATATTCCAGTTTTTGCAAATGGCTCACGAGATTCATCAAAACATGATTCCTCGTGATGAGTACATGCTCCCTCATACTGTGCTCATGGACACAAGTCACAGAGGGGTTGTTGATAGAGACCTCTCACCCTCAGCCAATGGTTTAATGGCTATTACCTCACTGTCTCAGAAAAGACCCTCTTCTGCCTCAGACATCAGGGATACCAAAAAACACAGAACAAAGTCTCTTCACTTCACATGTACAGTGGTCAGTTGTGGAGAGAAGTTCAGCACAAGTGAGCAGCTAGATACACATATGAAATTACATGTTGGAGTCAAGCCCTTTACCTGTGAAGTCTGTGGCAAGGTGTGCCAGACAGAGAGCAAGTTGAAGGCCCACCAAGCATCTCATGCAACAGATGGCATCAAGCCTGTGTGTGTGAAATATGTGAAAGAAACTTTTCAAGTCGTAGTGCTTTAAACAAACACAAAAAAATGCTTCATAAACCGAAGCCCCACATATGCCCACATTGCAACTCAGGATTTGAAGAACGCAAATATATGATAATCCATGCGAAAAGGGCCCATGACGCTGATGTTCCTCTTGAATTGCAGTCTACCTCATCAGTTACCTTTGATGTCAGTAACTTTGAAGCAGCTACTGGTTCAAATGAGTGTAAAGATCTCTATAAAGGCAACTATTCAATACCTGTTGAAACTAACACTGTTCAAGCTTCATCCATGTCAATAACTCTGTTGAAACTCAAAAAGACCATAATCTGCCAAATCAAAATGATAATACCTCTTTGGCCAAAAAAGCACAGTCAAATTCTCATGCAGTATGTGCTACAATAGCATGTGAATTATGCACATCAACTTTCCCATCTTTAGCTTACCTGGAGCAACATATGGCTGTGCATGTAGGAGAGAAAACTTTCACATGCCACGTTTGTGGGATGAGTTTCAATGGACGTCTTGATTTGAATAGCCATATGAGGCTACACACTTCCGAGAATGACTGTACAAATTTTGGTACCAACAACTATAATAATGGAAATTACAATCAGTTTTCTACCAACCAAATGCATACAGGACAAGGGAGGTCCTCAGCTATTTTACAGATATGCATGTGCTGTCTGCAGTGAACAATTTCTAACTCTAGGGAGCCTCAAAAGGCATCAAGCTAAGGGACATAACGCAGCTGTTTTGAACATCTAGCAGAAAAGGGAAATGAAAGGTGGAGACTTATTGGGAGTTTTATATTTTGATGACATGGTACAGTTATTAATATTAGTAATAGGTAGAAAGAAATATCTAGGGACTACATGTTCTTTTTACCTTACAACACATTCTGATGCTTTGTTATTAGCTGAAAATATGTTTTCTCCTTGAAATATGTAAGCAGAATATGAAAGACACTTGACAGGTATTCAATCTTGTCTTAAAGTTTAAAATGAGATCTCTTTAAAGGTTATTTGAAAATCTTAGTGACAGAATATGCTTGTATTTCTACCAAAAGTTACAGGTGCTGTATAACTCTCTTGTTAACCTATTATTTTTGTAATAGGTTATAGTTTTCATGTGATTTTTATTTATATCTTGCATTAACTGAATAGCATGAGCAATCTTGCTTTATATTACATGATAGTAGTGTTTATTAGAGATAAATTTTATAAAAAAAAAGGCATGAAATGGGCAATAATGTAGATTGTATTTGCATACTCCATTTTTAAAATATATTGTAAAATTACATTCCCATGTAAAATGCACATCAAACAAACTTTATTTTAAGGAATTAGTTCCTGTACTTTTACTAAATATATTTTTAGGTAGCTACAAAATGATGATAATCAATATTTTTGTCATTTTCAGTGTGATATTTAGAAATTAAATTAAACTTAAGAAATATGATGTAATATTTTGCTGTATATTAACGCTCACAGAAAATATGCTAGAATAATGTTTCACAAACAAATGTTTGTAATTTGCTAACCAAATACATTTGTAAAGGGGTGATAGCAGAAATACAAGATCATAAGATTCACAAAAACTTATTTATTATTGTTATGTTGCCTAGAACAATCTAATGATGCTTTGAATTTCATTCAAATTAAGATCAGAAATAATGCCAGACATTGTGTAAAATAAGAATAAATAGAAAAGTAAAAATTGTTTTTCATTTATAGATAAATTCTTATTATTTTAGTACATTATTTTAAGAGAAGGCCAAAGAACTGAAAATATCCTAAAATATTACATAGTAATTAAAATTCATTGTTCTAAAATAAAGGTATTTTTTACTTTGAGATATAGTAAAAACTACCCTTGTTCATTCAGGAATGTAGATGGTTCATAGTGTCATAAACACAGTTAATGAAAATAAAAAAAAAACATTGTAGACACCCTCTCTGTTGCAAGATGATGTTACCATCATGGACTACTATCAGATTCACATGTATTCTCCTGTTAAAACTCACAACTCAATCAAAGGTTTGATTACATCAATCTCTATTAGATTAGCTAATCATTCAGAGCACAACGATAGACTGATTTATTGCATACAGTACTAATCTTCTGTCCAGCATGAAACTCTTAATCCCATTTTACTTTTGCTAATGCTATCACCCACTATTTCTCTGATATATTTGAGTATTTTTTTGAGAACACCCTCATATTCTGGAAAATGAGATAACATATAAAAGAAATAGCATATCTGCTATTATGCAAAACAGCCAAGGAATAATATTTAGATTTGGGCAAGCATAACCCTGCTTCATACTCTTGTGTCATTTGCTTTGCTACTTATATAGACCTTACACACCCACAAGGTCTAAATAAGCACTTATATAGACCTTACACACTTACATATGCACATGCAGTAGCACGCACACGCACACAAGTGCACACACACACAAATATATATAATTTTATGCATGTCAAGATCGTTACTGATTTAACAGTTAAAAGATACATTCATTATGATTGTAAAAATGTAGATGTCACTGAAAACGTTTATATTCCTACTTTTATTTTTTAAAAGGCATATGAATATAGCATATTTTGTATTATAATGAATAAAGTAAATTGTAATAATCATCTTTAAATGGTTGGTTTAAATATTATCAAATGAATGGCGGAAAAGTAATAAGTTGGTTGTTTTAACGTTTTTTTTCCCTTCGATGAGTCTTGGCTTTCACCCCCAAACACAACGAAAAGGTAGGGAAAATTTGTGGGAAAACAAGACGCAATGCTTTCTTAGTTGGGAAATATTTAATGATTTTTTCGGCCCATGAATACAGCAACGGAATTAGTCAAAGAAGACAGTTCGATGATATCAAGTAATAGATAGAAAATGTACTATTATTGATTTACTATGAAAATTACATTCCTACTAGGTATTGTATTTTTTATGTTTATTTTTTATGTGCTGCTTCTTTTTCAATCAGGTGCATATATTTATTCTTTATTTTCCGAAGGAGGGACCCAAGTCAAGATTGTTACTGATATGACATTTAAAATGTGTATTTGTTATTGAAAAGATGTATAGACCCTTCTGAAAATGTTCATATACATATTCTTATTTTTAACGGCATATCAAGATAACAAAGTTCAACAAATCAAGTAAATTATAATAATCATTTCCATATGGTTGGTTTGTTTTAATGTTAACAATAGAAGGGGTAATAAGTAGGTTGTATTATAGTTTTCCCTTGGGTAAGTCTTGGCTTCCGCCCTAAACACAGAGAATAGAAAAGTTTGAGAAAATTCATGAAAAAATATCACACCATAGCGCCTGCCTAGTTGTTGGGAAATATTTATTTATTTTTCTGCAGTGGATACAGCAGCAGAATTAGTCAAAGGAGACAGTTCCA